GGGCGTACGGGGGAGGGAGCGTCCGTGCCGGTGGGGGGTTCTCCGGTGGCCACTGCCTCGCCATGCAGCGTAGCTCCAGCTTCAGTTTTCCTTCTCGTACCAGCATCTCCACGGACGGACCGTTGGACCTGCCCTTTTTCAACCAGCGACTGCCTGCCCACCCGCACTTCACCGCCTCCCCCGTGTCCCCCACCACGCCTTCCTCGCAATTCCCCCAGTCCTACCGTGGCCACTGCCTGCGACCTCTCTCCCTCTCCCACGAGCAGATCAGCCTGCCCCAACTCCAGAGGGAAGAAGCTTCAGAGGCCAGCTCTCCGGATTCCACCCCGGAACTGGGACGGCGGTCCGGCCAGAGAGGCGACGGGAAGGGGTGCCTGTCTCGTAGCAGGTCGCAGCCCTGCGTGCTGAACGACAAAAAGATCGGGATGAAGCGGCGGAGGCCAGAGGATGCCCAGGAGCAAAGGCCCTCGCTAGACCTGGCAAAGATGACTCAGGTGAGTTGCAATTGGCCGACGCGCGCAGACAAAACGCACACAGGAAAACATTTGCCGAGGTCTCGTGGTGAAAGTACTTTGGATTTGAGCAGCAGGCTGGATTTACACAACATTGTTTAGGAGACGGGGTCACAGTTCAAATCTGCACGTTCTTCCTGTGCTTGCTTTCCCACATCCCGAAAGCATATGTTAGGTTCACTGAAGACAGTAAATCAGGGACGTCCAAACTTTTTTTTCACTAGTCTCTCCGGGTCGTCCCGGGGGCCTCCTGCCGCCGGGACGTGCCCGGAACACCTCAGCAGGCGGGAGGCGTCCAGGAGGCATCCTAATCAGATGCCTGAGCCACCTCATCTGGCTCCTCTCGACGTGGAGGAGAAGCGGCTCGACTCTGAGCCCCTCTCGGATGACCGAGCTTCTCACCTTGTCTCTAAGGGAGAGCCCGGACACCCCGCAGAGGAAAACTCATTTGGGCCTCTTAAGATCCGGGATCTCGTTCTTTCGGTCACGACCCATAGCTCGTGACCATAGGTCGACCGGTAAATTGAGAGAGGCTCAGCTCCTTCCTCACCACGACAGACCGATACAAAGTCTGCAATGCAAACTAGCATCAGAAAAAAAACACCCCAAAAGATATTGTCATTTAAACCAATTAAAACTTGTCGCGAAGTCAATCTGATCAGAATGAATGTTCTCGATCGTTCAACCAAATCTTCACAACCATCTGAAGTCTTTTTTTTTTAAGTATCCGACGGAGGGAGTGGTGCTTACTCATGGAACATGCCTCATGTTCAGTCATGCCGCTAAACGCCACACACTCGAAAAAGAACCAGGCTTGGGTGAACATCTCATCGCGTCTGTTGGGTAAATCCAAAAGGTTGGGCCCCCTTGAGGTCCATTTTCTCCCACCCTCATACTTGTCATTTCCTGCAGCAATCTGGCTCTTATCGCAGAGACACAGTGGTCAAATTATATTTAAAAAAAAAAAAAAAAAAGAAGAAGTGATTGTGGACAGAAAAGCCGCAAGACCCAATTGAAGTTATGCTTGGCCCCAGCAATCAGTGATTGTAAATGAGCCCTTCGCTTCTCAAATGGAAGCATTCAAGTCTTTTCATGCTATGCACTCTTTGATGCAGGGAGATACGCATCTGGAACAACACTGTTAAAAGATGCAATATACCATTCAGGAAATTGCTGTACGATGTCTACAAGGGACTGACCATGTGGCTTTTTTGAGATATGAGCCGTTGTTCGGGGAATTTTTAATTTTTTTTTGTACTGATTTGAGACGCGAGCGGATTACGATGGCGGTGAGCTGAAACTCACTTCACAAGAGGCAGCGCTTTGGTCATCACCAAAGCCAATTTTAGACTTGCAAAATGGTCAAGATCGATCTGCACACGTGAAACCACAATCAACATCCGAGTATCAAAGACGTCATTATGTTGTAAAATTCTCAATGTTTTTAATAACGGTATTTGATACATACTGATTTGGAACAAATGATGTATGTGGCACAGTTGCACGCTGTCATATTTTTTTTTAATAACTGCAATGTGATAGAGGTGGTATCAGGAGGTGTATTAAGTCGCCGCTGAAGGCCGAGGTCCCAAATCTCTTTTTCCTAAAGATTTGTGTCCCCCTCAGGGGCGGGCGAGCGAAAGTTGGATGCGCGGAGTTTCCTCTAATCGTGCCAGGTGCTAGGCGGGGCAACGAGCCGAGCCGCGACGACACACACGCTCATCACGTTGACGTGACCTCGGCTCGCAGGAATGCTCCCACGTCACATACTAGGACCGTGCTTTCAAAGATGGCTCGGGGATTAACAGACCGACACGTTGCCTGCGTTCACATTTCAAAGGAGTCAGTAGCTGTTGTTAATGTTTTTTTTTCCCCACACAAATCTGTTCATGGGAATTTTGAGATTTCACATACACAATGGATTGAAATATGTTGTTTTACTCAGTGAGCATTTGGAAGCAACATCAAATTTAAATTAGTCCAAACGGCTTTTTCATGTGAATCATATTTTACCAATTGTCTGTAAAAAAAAAAAACCAAAACAACAACAAAAAAAACAGCCCGTTCACATTTGGGTAAATAGTCGTTCTGTCGAAATGTTCATTGCAGAGCTGCCAGGTTTTGTCGAAAACACTACTAGTGCCAGAGAGTGAGAGTCAAATCTTTTCTAGTTTGACGCGATTGAAGTTCTGTCGTTAACGTCATTCTGTGATTTTTTTTTTCTTAATGTGGTACGAATAGCACGAATGGTACGCAGGCTCTCTTTAGTTTTACACGAAATTAAATGTTCAAAAAAATTTTTTTAAACCATTTGTTAAGTACAGTTCAGTTATATTTAACTTTTACCATCTGGGTAATCCATTTAAACTGGATCATTAATACACACCGGTCAATGCATTTTTGCGAAAGGGATGCAAGTTAACTTTTCTCGATGAATTTTTGAATTCCAACTCTGCCTTCATATTTTCTCTCGTACATTGGGTTTTCACAATAATAATAATAATAATAATATACAATATTTGGCTCTGGCCTTTCGGCGGGGAGGCCAGACTACACAACTCCTTTTTTTAAATTATGGTGGCACTCGAAGAATTTTTTTTGAAGGCGATACTTGCTGTAAAATGTTTGAAGCATTGACCTAACGCATCAAATCTCCCATCTCATCTTTTGGTCAATATTTCAATCGGAAGCTCGGCAAGTGGACTTTGTCTCGGGCGAGATGAACTGAGCAACCAAACACTTCCGAAAGATTATTCCCACTGACGTTCACTTCTAGATTAACAAGGCACTTACTCATTTTACTACCAAACTATCTGTTCGGATTTTTATTTTTTTTTTACTACCTCTGAAACCGTCAGGAACTTGTCCTGGATTTTATTGGCATGTGGTTGTAAAGGTGACTTGGTAAAAAGGGGTACACCGTGGGAAAGAACTCATAAAAGAAAGTCCAAATATTTGGCGGAAATAAAAAAAGTTTGATTTTGCAAGAAAAATGTCAAATCTACAAATGTGCCTTGACAACGGCTGATTGAATAAGACCTGACTTGATAGAGGCCCGGTCTCGAGAGAGAAAGTAACATCAAACTTTTATTCTGTTGGCATTTGGAATTTATTCTTGAAAAGTTCCGACTTTATTCTCATCACATGACTACTTTATTCTCGTGACAAACTGTATTCGGATTGTACTCTTCCAATGCTGTGACTTCCCTTTTAACACATGAAAATGTTCTTGTAGCATTTCTTGAAACATAATCAGAACTATTCTTACAAGTAAAACTTTTCACTTTTCATTACGACCAGAACAAAATCAAATTTGATTCTTTTAACATTTTTCCGCGTGCATTAAAATTCATTTATTCTCCCAAGCGTGACATAAATCTTTGTTCTTTTCATTTCCTTTTGTCGACACACCCATATGTGCAAGAGGCTGGAAAAAGCGACTGTATTTCAAATGGGGGCTGGGGGGGGGGGGGGAAAGGACATTTTAGAGACGAGCCATAATCGTACGAGCTTCAAAGTTTGTGAAATTTCTTGCCACGTCAAAGTGGTTGAGACACACGTTGGTCGCTGCAAAACTTTGTGGATATTTGTGTGTGCGCGCACACGAGGTTGAGGAAGGTCAGCACATAACAAGTCCCCAGTGTGTGCTGTCAGCGCAACATGCAGTAACGTGGCCTTTCGTTTCCTGCCGCACGTCACCCGACGGTGGCTGTGAATTCGGGGGCTTTCGTGACATGCTGGTCAATGATCGCTCCGCCGTCATGGGTATTTACGCAGGACGCCCGCCCCCGCCCCCATCCTCAAAACAAATTCCTTGAATAATTTCGCAAGCTGTCGGGCCGCGTTGTTTGCACGCCTGGCTGTTTCCCTTCCACCTTGGCCGGCCGCCGTGTTTTTTCCTCCTCTGCAGCGGCTGCGGACAGCCGTCAGACGGAGGCTGAGCTTTTATCGCCAAATATGAGGCCACTCGCTCAATGAAATGTCAACGCCGCTTTTGCGGACGGGGGGGGGGCTGTGCCGGCTGTGATTTGCCGCCACGTTCGAGTGATTTAAGGGGATGAGGGAGAGGGGCTATCTTATTTACGCAAGGAAGCTGTCAACTCTACTTCTCATTGCGGCTCGCTCTGAGAGTTTCTCAAAGTGGGGATTGGGGTTTGGTTTTGAGATCCGCCCCTATTTTGAGTACACGCGAGTGATTAAGGAGGAGGAAATTGATCACAGGTTGGAAGTCAGACAAGCGTAGATATTCTAGACTCGAAACTGTGTGTAAAGGTTATCGTATTTGTCTGTGTGTCGTGTACGACAGAGATGGTGGTCGCCATATAAAAAGCCACAAAACACATACAAGCCTGTGACTGACATATGTGTACATTGGAAAATACATCAATGTTTTCTTAAATGTACGTGACCAAAACATGCCCAATTCAAATTAAATCGCATGAATAAAGTAACCACCAGAGGGCACTGGAACTGAAACAATTAAGAATAACCTGGCCTGGTCAACCCATGTGGTGCTTTTCATATCGCGACATGACGACGACGATACTGTATTAATTTCGCGATGTTGCCTTTATTGTTGAATCCCTAATATTTTCTCAACTACCAGTGGTTGCGTAAATGTTAGAACTCCTGCTGGATTAAATAATATGCTCCCACCCTCATGGCTCTTCATTCCTGACATGGCGAGCATGGCTGAGCAGCAATGTGGGAACGGTGACGCGAATTGCTGCACAAATGCGTTGTCTCATTAAATAACAGCCCACGCTCTCTTCTTCCTAAACTCTCAGCGCTTATCTGCATTTTGGCCTCGGTACAGCGCAGATGAATGATTGATGCGGAGGTGCATTGCTGTGTCATCTGTTTGTCAGGGATGAGTGCAAGATTCCTTCCTTGCACGTCTTTTTTGTGAGACACTCCGAGGCCCCCCGCTTGCGCTTTTTCAACTGACCTCGTTCCAAAGACGTTGCTGATTTCCAAATAGCCCCTGTTGACATTTCTTTGCGCTTTCGCTTCATAGGTGAGGCCGTTGTCATTGTGTTGAGCAAAGTCAGGATTGTTTTCGTGCCCTTTTATGGCAGTATTGAAACTTCTAACACACCGACACTTTGAGGCACAGTGAATACACAAAGTCCTGTCAACAGAATTGTGACACAAACGCAAGCCTGCTCCTCCCCCTTGCTGAGGTTGTGTTGGTTTCGACCAGAAGTCACCAAATTGCTTTCTAATTCAACAATTTTTTGTGATCGACTTAGCCGATCAACGCCCCCCCCCCGCCAACCCCACCCTCCAGTCTTAACAATAACATATACAGTAAAAACAATACCATGATTAAATGTAAATTGAGCATATTTGTTAGTTCAGTGTGTGTATCAACAGTGGTCATCCTTTGCGCAGTCAAGACATTCGCACCAATGCATGATTTAAAGTAGAACAGCACAAACACGAGTTACATGCAGCTAACTAGTAAATGGCATTTATTTATTTTCACAATAGCAGGGGGTGGGGCGACCATCTCACTGGTGAGTGTTTTTCTTTTCTTTAATTTTTTTATTTCATTTCAATTTTTTTTTTTCATTTGGTGCCCAAAGGTACATGTTGGTGACTCCTGATCTAAAACCCATCCTTGTGATAGGATCTGTACACCCAAGACCTATTTTAGTCTTCACCGAACCTAACGCAGACAACTGAATTAATTAAAAAAAATTTTTTAAAAACTGTTCTTCATCCATGTTTAACATTTGGCTGACCAGGCCCATCTGCCCAATTTGATAACGATTGTGTGCCCATGTGCGGTATACTTAAGGGGTGTATCTCATGCGGCGGTGGTATGAAAAGCTGGGCACAATACAGAAATGTTACCCCGCTTCTTGCAGACCCTCTCAAATCCCAGGCTGTCCCCAGTGGGTTTCATGGAAAGCACATAGTGACAAAGCAGCTCCTGACCTCCCTCCCCCACCGTTCTTACCCTCCTACTCCTCCTCTGCTGGGATAATTAGTAGTCAAGTAATACCAGGGGAACCGAACACAGAGAGGGTGTAGAAATCCCCCTTTTTCCATTCCGGTGACAGACAGCGAAGGCCTCCCACTACTCTGGTTATCACCTCAAGTATTTGCTTTTGTTTGCGAGAGACTCCTGGTGCACGGCCGCAGGGAAGTTGTTCCTTGCTCAAGGGGAAGGAAAAAAAAACTAATTTCTATTCATCCCCGTGCCTCCAAACATCTGCTGCTCCACAGATTATTAACCCCCTCACTGCACTGTATTACAACTTTATTCGTCTAACTTTGAGACTTGCTTTTGAAGAAAAAAAAAAAAAAACATTTACAACTATGTTCCTGTGACCTTTTAACATTTTTCAGGGAGCATAAACAGTGACGTCTCATCACAAATAAATGACTGATATTAACTTAAAGTGGATGGATGTATGAATTAAAAACTTTTGATCGGACTGTGACATTTTCCGTAAATCACCTCCAGGGCATCGCCGCTTGTAGCCCACCTCCCTCACAAGCACAATGAATCCACGTTCAGGTACAACGTACAACCTTGTACGTTGGACGCAAAATCCAAAGCAACTGGATTACAAAGTATGACGATATTTATCTTAGGGCGACCATTTCGCAAATCGATGATGTTGCATAGTAAATTACTAGATTCATTTAACTCCGTCAATCATATAGAAGACACATTTGTGTGAAATTTGCTTCGGATGTTGTTTTTTTTGGTTTGTTTGTTTTTTTTTTCCGCCCATCGCTGCCCTGCTTTGTCTGTCTTGCTTATGTCAAAAGAGGAGCTCGGTGTTCATCCCGTATCAAGGTAACTCGGGATAGGACTTGCGAAGCTGGAACGTACGTCAACAAGGTCAAGCGTCGAAAAACTTAAAGCCAAGCCCTACTGGCGAGTCGCCTTGACATTGTGGAAACAAAATACAGTTTGCCGTTTTCTGCGACTTCACTCAGTTTGGCTGAACGGCCACAGCTTTGCACGTGTGCTTGCATGTGCGATGAAAGTTTCAATGAAACACAAGATGCAGCTTTTGGCAGCTTGAAGCGAAACCGAATCTCACAAAATAGTGACAGGAAAACCTCAAGATGAAAATTCCCCTCCCCAAACAAAAGGAGTAGCCTACTACCACTTTCCAGAGGGGAGGCATACAGTGGATCACTCATTGATCTTCGCTTTGTGAATAAAAACTTTATGATTGACACATTTGGTCTCAATCAGTAGCTCGGGTCTTGGCGTTTTTATTTTTGCTCATAGCTCCTCCCACAAGCACAATGAATCCATGTTTATTTCTTCCAACATTAACGTTTTCTCCGCGATTTATGTGAAAAAATGCATTTGCAGCATCTGGGCATAATGCTCTAACACACATATGTCAAAGTGCCGGCCCGCGGGCCAAATCCGGCCCGCGAGAATGTTTTCAGTGGCCCCTGGGATGATATTGATTTATTATTAGAA